ATTCCTGAAACTAGTGCCCTGTGCTCAGCATTGCTACCTCTGCAGCGTGGTGGGAACAGCAAAATACTCTGGAATGCACCTGAGACGACTGACCTGTGAAGGGATGAACATGAAGGAATCTGTGAGGACCCCTTGGTTTCAGTGACTCAGTGTTTCTCTGGCTGGTTGCAATGTCCGTCCTTCTTGTGTCCTGGAGATGCTGTTAGTGGTTCTCCACCTTGGGCCCCAAGTTTTGAAGGTTTCTCATGATGGCTTAGTGCTCTTTATTCTTGCACTGCTGTGGCCAGAAGGGAGGGAAATTAAACTTATTCCATAAGCTCCATATAGGAGAAATGCAAGATTTAAGGTCTAGGCAACTTGTGAAGAGATTTGCTCTCTTGGGGAAGATTACCATTCTGCTCATTGTCCTTGGCTATCCACTATTCCAGTTTTCTCCAACCTGAGAAACACCAAATCCTTCTTCTCACTCGTATCTTCTGAGAATGCCAGCAAGATGTTGATGCTAAAAAGATGGAAAGTATGATAAAGCAGCTGGAACTCTCCCAGAACCTGTCACCACCTGTTCACACCCTCCTAGCAAAACAATCTTCTGTGCTGAGATGCACTGTGGTTATCTGTCAGTGGAGCAATCTCCAGGCTTCAAAACCCCGATACCTGCCTGGAGTCCGGGCAGAGCTTTGCAGACAGCAACTGCTGCTTGACTGCTTCCTCTTAGTCCTGCTGTCCAGCCCTACGGTGATGTGACCCTCACAAAGTATGCTGTAGACTTGAACATCCTTAGGCTTTGGTAGGTTTGTGATCTGCAGTTGTATTATATGTCTTGGAGCAGCTCCCATCTCTGTCCCTTCCTTGCCCTACCCTGTATTGGAGTAGTGTGAGCACCATCCTGCAGGCTGGGAAAATACACTGCTTCTGCAGCAGCCACTTTGGATAGGATGAGCATTTCTTCATGGGCATTGCATAGCTTTGTTTGGAGGAGTTCTGACACCCACCTATATCTACTTGCCTTCTCTGCCCATTTCTTCTCCTACATGTGGTGGAGACATATGATAACTCTCCATTGCAAAAGGAACTTGCTTTTCTCAAGCCTCAGTGTGACACCTTGCCAGAGCCTGTGTCTCTAGGAACAGGACTGTGGCATGAATCTCTTTATGCCCTGAGGACGCTCCCTTTACTTCTGGGGTGCAGGCTGGAGCTAGAGTGATGTAGTGTCCCGTGGTCCCTCGTGCAGCTCTGACCTGTAGAACTATGGGGCTAATGGGGTGGCCAAGGGCTTTCTCATACTAACATCTACTCTGCAGATGGACTTGGTAATGCACCTCTGTTCTGCTCACTTGGTTTTTGGGGAGGAGACACTATTTTCTGCTAGTATTTGCAGTAGGTACAAGGGAACACATAGGAAAAGCCACAGGTTTTGTTGAACGCTCACCCAGGCAACCTTCAGCTGAATGAACCAGAATTTGAAAATAAACCCCTTCTTTCCCTGCATCCCAATTTGTAGTTGGAGGTAAGTAATCACCCTCATGTGAACTTTGGTGTATTTGACAACTAGTGCGAGTCCTCACTCATACTTTTAGTATTAGACAGCAAGGTTGTGCAGAGAGCGCGACTGGTGCCAGGATGCCAAGAGGATATTAAACTGGAAACACTAACCTGTGTAGCACATTATTCCTTTGCCCCAAGCGGGCACTGAGTGAGGTTTTAAAGTATTGGTTAGATACTGGCAGAGAGGCAGCTGCTGTTTGGACTATTTCCATGTGGAAGAAAGGGAAAGTAAAGAAAAAGAAAGAATGGATGTTTACAAGCTTACATTGCACATGAAACATCCCATGTGATCATCTCCATGAGCTGCCTTGGGCCAAATTTATCATTTGTGCAGCTCACTGACATCAGTGGTGTTACTTGTACATCAAGGACATACATGTTGTCGTAGGTCTTATTTTAGCTTTTCTCTGAAGGGCTAGACTTAGACCTGACTGCTACGAAAGAAGGCTGAAAAATTCAAGGGAGGAAAGGTTTAGCAACTGAAAGGAAGATGTTGTTTTCTGTGTGGGGAGTACCTGGGAGCCAGGAGACCTGAAGGGTGAGTATCTTGTTTGTTCAGTAAGGGAGGTGTTTTGCCATGCATCCTGCTGAGAAATGTAGCCTCAGAAGGATTGTAGCTACAGAGTTACCCATGTAAAGTGTGAACAAATGATGGAGGGTTAAGGACAAAGAAGGAGAAAAGAGGAGAGGCTGTGCCCAAAGTCCTGGTCCAGGAAAACTTGGTGTAAAATTCAGTCACCCTGTGGCCACACGGAGATAGCACTGTACAGAGAGGAGCCTTTTTTCTCCACCTGTGTATGTTTTTCTTCAGCCTTGTTTTTTTGGTGGCTGTTTGTTTTGGGGTTGTTTTTTTTGTACCTTATTGTTCTGCTAATGGCTCTACTCATATCTCTGAGCTAGGGTGTGGTCATAGCTGACAAACCTCAGGTTCCATTACAATTGCTGTCTATGAAGCATACAGCTCATTAAAATATGCAGATCCACAAGTTGACACTTGTGATGCAGCAGAGAACATGCATTATTTGGATGACACGTTAGCAGAAACTCATTCCTACTTCCGCCTTCCTTTCTGGAAGTCAGATTTCCAAACTTACAAATCTCTAAAATAAAATATAATGAAAATTAGATGGCATAGGAGAGCAGGAGGTGATGACTACGTGTTCTTCTCTTCTCTGCTATTGTGCAGAAGACAGTGCTGGCAGCACAAGGGAATACTGGGTGTGTGTGCCTCAATTTCCTTGCAGTTGAAGGTGGGGTCATAAGACTGATGAAAATGTAGAATTGTTTCAGCTGAGGTCAACAGATGCCTTATATGACATGCTTAACGGCACGGGGACAGATTTCAGTTTGAGGGTCCCATCTTGTCAAATGGGATCTTTACATTTAATCCCAATCAGTCTCAAAGCGGTTCTGGGAGAAGAACCCTTCTGAGGTTTTCCCCATGCTTCCTTGATGTTCAAACATTGGTGTCTGGTGCAAAAGCCCAACAAAATGATCACTTCTTTAGCTGGAGGGCAGCCCTTGGGAACAGTGTGCCCTGGGTGGATAAAGTATGCTCCCTGCAGGGCTATTGCTTGTGTCCTTGCAAGTGAAGTGACTGATAACCATGGACCCAGTCGTGACAGCTGCACGACTGGTACAGGTATGGTGAGGGAATTGGAAGGAGCATTTTCTGTAAAAGGAGAAAACAGAAAAGAATATGATCAGTTTAGGGGTGGGTGATAGGGATGCAGTGAGTAGAACTTGCTGAAGAGGGAGAGTCAGTATAGAACTTGAAAAGAAGAGAATACACAGAGGATATTTTAATAGGAAGAGGGAGAAATTGTACATACCTTTCACAGCATTTTGCATCTCGTGTTCCCATGGCACGCCATGAGACTTGCTCCTGTCTAGAAGACGACTGACTCTTCATCTCAGCTCCTTGATCTTGTCCTAACTTCTACTGACTTGAAGGTTTGTCATGCCCTTTGTGTGGGCATCTCACAGCCATGGGCTTAGCCCCATGATTTCAGGAGGGATTTGGGAAGTGGAAAGTGGGAGCAGAAGAAATGATGATGGAGCAGAGTTTCCTGGGATCCTTCTGACCTTTCACTGAAGTAGAGAGCAGTGATTTGGGGTATGGGGTGTCATTGGGGAAGGTGAAGCAGCCCACCGGTCTGAGAGGCGTGTGACAGGCAGGCAGTTTGCTTGAGGACCACATGGGATCTGCAGACCAGAGGGTGCTTTCTATTCTCTGAAGGTTGTGTGGTGAGTGGGGCAATTTTGGCTTCTCCTATCTGTTCCTGTTAGATATTGTTTGTGTTACCTGCCCTCAGATCAGCTCTTAATTCAGCAGTTGTCATCAGCCAAATGTGTGGGAGCTTCCCCTCTCCTCTATGGCGCCTGGAGCATCATCTGCTCTGCAGGCTGTACATGCAGATCAAGCTTCACTAACAACTGCTGCGACCCTCCTTACCTTCCTTCCAGATCTAGATGAACCTGTTCTCACCATTCATCAGACCATCAGTGATGTACGTGGCAGCTTCTACCAGGAGAAGACTGTCTTCCTCCGCTGCACTGTCAATTCCAACCCACCAGCTCGCTTCATCTGGAAACGGGGAGCTGAGACACTTTCCCACAGTCAGGACAATGGCGTGGACATCTATGAACCCCTCTACACACAGGTGAAAAAATCCAAACCTCCACCAGCTTGTGTTGAGCATCTTGCTGATGCAGGGCACTCAGTAGTGGGCAACATTTTTTTCCCTGTGTGGATTATGATACTGGGGAGAGGGTAGTGCCCACTGCAAGGAGCACTGTCTCCAAAAGGGCTGGTAGAGCCTAGTTCTGCATGCAGGTTCCCAGGGGGCAAGAGGAGCAGAGCAGCAGGAGGGAGCATGACAGCCTAGAAATTCCTTCTTGGCACTGTCCCTGGGAGCAGATCACAGCTCCCCTAATGAGGTTGTGTGGCTGTTGGATGGCTGAGACTAAAATCCAAGCAAACAATTCCAAGATTGGGTCTCTATGTCCCATTACTGATTTTTATTTTTCTTAACTGAGCGCCCAAGCTCCATAAATCAGGGGAATTGCTTCCTGTTCAGCAGTGTGAGTGACTGGCAGGAATTGCTGTGGGATCCATGAGGGAAATGATGAAGAACTTTTCCTAATAGCCATTAGGAACAGAGGCAGACCAACTGCCCAGGCATTTTCTGACTGTCGTCCTGTGACAGGGTATCCACATCCTTTCTGCTTCTCCTGCTTGCCTATGGTAGACTTCTTCCTATGAACGCCACTTTCTTCACGGTAATTAGCTCACCAACACAGCGGGAGATGGAGGGGAATTTTTCTTTTGCCCAGGCACTCTGGGCATGTTATCCTAAGCTGAGCTCTGGCTCTGAATGTCCTTCAGATGCTAACCAGCCCCAGTGCTTCCAGCAAGGCTGTTTGGCAGCATGAGGCAGTGATGGGTGGGAAGGGAGGGCTGAAAGGGCTGCTCCCCAGGGTGCCCGTTTCATCCCACGCACCTCCTCGCACTCCCAAAGCTGGGCCCTGTGAGCACATTCTGGCCGAGTTTGATTTCTGAGCGATGCTCCAGGCAACCTCTCAGTTAATGTAGTCGTGTTCATATTTTATTGAAACACGCCGTCTCTGTAGGTCATGGAAATGGGCAGCCAAATGGAAACATTCAGGGGGATGAAGAGAGGAGAGAGCTGCAGGTTAGCTGGAGATTTGCAGAAACGCTGTAGGTCAGCACTGTTGTTGGGCTCTGAAGAGAGCTTTGTCTAGTCCAGTGCTGTGTGGCATCCAACCAGGACATCCCTGGCCTTAGAGGAAGCCACCATGGGCTCTTCCAGCTTTCACTAAGCTCTGTGTAATTAACAGGAGACATTGCCTTATGAGAGGATGTCTTACGACTTGAGATATTTTCTTCAGCGAAATAAGGCATCTGGCAGAATTTCACCGTGTTGCAGCATTAATGTGTAAATGATCCAGCATCCTGCAGCTCCTGTCAGGCAACGCTCCCACCAGGATGGGTCTTTCCCAGCTCTGAGAAGAGGGTGTTAGGACTGCCATGCTCACACAGGCATGCCCTTACAGTCCTCTCCGTAGCACCAGCATAAACCTGTGAGTTTTATGTTGGTAAGAGTAGAAGTTAATGAAAACACACCTCTGCAACACTATTGGGAGAGGAAAATCTTGCTGGTGCTCAAATGAACTATGTTTAACAAAGCACCCTTCACAGAGCTTTGTAATATTGTCTTAGAGATGAATGGTATCAGTGTCAGGTTTGGGTAGGCTTCTACATTAAAAGGAGGTGAAGACTTTACTGTTTAAACTTTTTAAAACTTATTTACGCTGAAGTTTTATACACATTTACTCAACATTTACTAATCAATAAACAGGATACATATGACCCTGTAAGTGAGTAGCTGACATGCACATTGTAAATGCCATCATTTGTGCGGCATAGAAACAAATCTCAGGGGACAGGACTTTCACAGGGTTATTCGTCTCCTAGGTGTTTATCTTTCTAATTTACTCAGTTCAGATCCTTGTTCTCTGCATATTAGCATCCCTGAGCTCATTGTCCAGTCCCTTGAGGTTGTCCTCAAGAGGATTTGTCATGCCGACACCTTCTCACATTTGCAGGCAATTATGGAATGGTTTCTCCAAAAGAGATTTAGACAAACACAAGGAGAACAACAGCGACAAGCTGTCGTGGGAAGACATATGAGTTGCAGGGTGTACAAACCACAGGATGCGTCTCAGAGCTTTCCACATTCCATAAATAAAAATCTACAGAATGCATTTATTGTTAATTTAACAACTTGATTCTGTTTCTGTAACAAGCCAGTAACTAATGGAGTGCCAGGGAGTGATTTTCTTTGTTACCATAGTATGAGAAAAGGCTATCAAAGTCTGTGCTGTCACTCTGGATTTACACCATCATAAATGAGATTAGAATCTGGAGAAGAGAGATCAGAAAGCTTTTTAGGGTCCTTTGAGTATTTCTCTGAATTATCACCCCTCCCTCCGC